GATAGACTGCTTTGGAGGTGATTAATAGTACTCATAAGGAGGCAATTTTGATTTATACAGATGCTGACAAGAATACACTGGAAGTAAGGCTTTCGTTAAATTTGATGAAGATTTCTTAAACACAGGAATACTACTTACTGTTCCATTTTGTACTCTAAATTGATAGCCATTGCTATGGGACTAAATTGTGCTTCTAAGCTACATTTGACTGAAGAAATCTGAATTCTGTTAGGCAATCGAAGTGCAATTCAATATTTGTAAATTTGGGGACTTCTCAGGGGCCAATAGGGAATGAGAATTTCAGCGAAACTCAGGATTCTGTCTGGTGCTTTTGTGCTTCATCTGCAATGGCTTCAATTCCACATGAATTTAAAATATAACGATAATATTACTGATGGTCTTGAGAAAGATGGCACTTCCCTGACTCAGGTTAACGCGAAACTTGTGTTGAACCTTGAGCTACACTCGAGATGTAAGGCTTCTATAAGCACCTCTTGAAAACAACCGCCACCACATCCGTGATATCATTGTGGGAGTCCTGGTGCTTCAATTTGTTTTAATGGTTACAAGAGAGATAAAACTGCTTTAATTCGACTGTCTACTGGACATTTAACTGTTTACTGACTTCTATAAATACCTCTTGGAAACAACCGCCACCACATTCATGGTGTCTTAGTGGGAGTCCTGGTGCTTCAACTAGTTAGTATAAACACCTCCTTGAAATAATCGTTACCACATCTGTGGTATCTTAGTGAGAATCCTGGTGCTTCAATTTGTTTTAAAGGTTACAAGAGAAATCAAACTGCTTTAATTCAACTTTCTACTGGCTTCTATAAAAACCTATTGGAGACAACCGCCACCACATTCATGGTATCTTAGTGGGAGTCCTGGTGCTTTAAGTAGCTGTAAACACCTCTTTGAAACAACAGCCACCACATCCGTGGTATTTTAATGAGTGTCCTGGTTCCTCAATTAGTTGTAAAGTTGACAGGAGAGATTAAACTGCTTTAATTCGACTGTATATTGGACATTTAACTGTCTACTGGACATTCCTATGGGGCTAAGACATTTTGCACCAAGTGTAGTGAAGAAGAAGGAAATTCGCAACATCTAATTAATTGCGTTAATTTGATACGCGAGGACCTTCTGAAGAGATATGTGTGTGTTTTAGAGATGTTTAAGGTGAGAAAACTCATGGATTGGATCTGATTCAGAGCAGAGGGATAAATATCATCACCATCATGATTTAGTAGAACATTTGCGCTCTATAAATAATTATCCTTTTTAAAACATGAATTTAAGAACTAACAAAGGCAATTTTAACAGGTNTTACTATGAAAAATTGATGATATTTTTCGAAAAGTGAAGAAATAAAAAAATTTGTTCACATGTGCCCCCCTCTCCCCTACTTGGGAATTAGATATGCTAATTAAATTATATTTTCTAGAAAATTTTTTTGCAGCTATAAAACTGTAACTTTTTAAATAATAGAAAACAATTTTTACTTCAAAGTACAGAGTCACAGATTGCTTAGGGCAATCATTACATGGGTTTCCAGTAAATGAAGTAAAAAATACAATAGCAAAAAAATAAATTTTTCATATTTATTAGAAATTTTAAATTAAGTTTGTTTGTCTGCTTCTTATGATAAAAAAAAACGCATTGAATATTTACCAAAATAAATTATTTAAGGAGCAATTTATATAAAAAGTAAATTATAGTAGAAAAAAATGTAATAGTACTTATCGAAATTTCATCTGTTTAAGTATTAAAAGCAAATTTTCTTAATTCAAACAAATTCAAAAGGATATTCCCTGAAGCGCAGTTTTCAAATATTCTCATAATTTTGAAAAAAATATTGGTTATTCTTTTATTTATTAACATAAAATCCTCTTTATTTAACAAAATAATTTTTTCATTCATTTTTATAGATGAAAAATTAAATATATGTAATGTTTGGTTCTATCTTGAAATCGCTATTTATTTTTATTTCGTTAAACTTTATTAACATGTAATTATTTACATAAAATGAGCATTTCTTTAATTAAAAACGAAAATAGACTTTATTAAATAAATAATTTGATTGAATTCAAAGGTAAAAACATAAGTTGTAATCTTCTTACAACCATAAAACTTTCCTGGCATTTATATAGTTGTAAACACTATATAAGAGCCAGGTATTAATAAAACTTTCCTGGCGCTTATATAGTTGTATTTTCAGTCATTATCTAGCCATATCTATTCGTACAATTAATTGTGGGATTACCGGATATTTCTAAATGAAAAAAAAAGAAAGGTTAAGGGAGACAGAAATGTGTGGTTTGTTTTGATTTTCGCTTAGGAATCTTGTTTCATTATCAACAAGATGCAGAAGTAGCTACAAAGTGTATAAAGATATGGGAAGAATTATATATTAAGAAAAATTTATGCCTCCTACGGCATTTCAGATCTGAAATATTTGCAAGAGCATTTGATAATTTCGTCATGAAACTCATCCACGTTGTTTCAAGAATTGAATATTTTGAAAAAAATCGTATTATAAATTTTCTAATTAGCAGCGCCATCCTTTGACTAAGATCTTAATTAATTTTCAAATTTTGTCTGACTAAAATCATGTTTCTTTAACTGAACGCAACAAATGGTATATTTATATCTCCTCCCGTTATTTACTTAAAGTGATTTTTCAAATTGTTGATAATTTTTGGAAAATACGGAACATTATTTTATAAAGTAATGACAATAAATTAATCTGTTTAAAAGATATACAGTAACATCATGGGCAACAAACATCGAATGTACTCCATGAAAAAAGGTTTTTCAAAATTGAGCAAAAATATATAAAATAGCTCAGAAACAAACAAGAAAATAATCGAATTTGAAAAATTCAAAATTGAAATATCGTATACTCATTTTTGAATAGCGTATACTCAAATGTGTGAGAGAGATGGTCGTGGACTGTAGACAGGATTCAAACAAAGGAAAGGTTTTTTTAAAAGAAAATTAATTAATTTTAACAACAAAAATGAAAAGCTATTAAATTCTAATTTAAGCTATAAAAAAGTGTTTAAATTCATTATTTAATGAATAAATAAAATACCAATAACATAAATTACTAATGTTAAAATTCTAATGCTGTAAGCTAAAAGAATCCTCAAATTTTAATATGCTAAAAAAATAAATGAAAACAAATTACTTTTTTTTTACAGGACGTCCTTACATACACTCTGTTTTTGTTTGATACAAAGAGAAAAAAAAATAACGACTGGCGCTGAAAATCGACTTGGGTATATTTTTCTTTCAAAAAAGTCTCTTCTGTTCCTTTTATTTGATGAGAAGCGTATAGTTTTTTCGAGTAATCGATTCTTGCATCAAACATTGCAGAGGACTTTTAATGAAAAGATAAAAGCTAATAAACTAATTCATTTACAACTGCATTAACAAGGGCATTTTGTTAAAAAGTAATTTTCGTAATGAATTAAAGAGGTATGTATGTTTAAAAATGTTAGTCATCAATTAAGGATATTTAGAAATGCGCTTACAATAGAAAACAGAAAGAACACAAAGCGTATTGATGTTTTTATTATTTTATTACATACTCCCTTTGAAAAATGCTACATGTAATACTTGTAACAATGCATCGTGTATACTGAGCCTTCTCGAATGTTTATTTTTCATTTGATTAATAGAGAATATTTTATCTTAACAATGATATTACATAATACGAGGTAATATTGGTACTTTTGAGTTTGTCATTGTGTTTTGCCTTAATAAGACAACATAAAAAGAGTTACTTTCGGTTTATTTTTTTATTAAAAAAGTACAAAAAAGGCTAAAAAAAGCTTTATGAAAATTATTAAAAATAAATCTGTGTAATAATTATTAAACTTTTATTTTGAAAAATTTGAAGTTAAGTATTTAAAAGTTTTATTAGAATAACTAAAACGAATTTATAGATTTTTGAATACAGTCGATATTCAATTTATTTGCAAAATCTTTTCCGCCTTGAAAAAAAAAATCAACGTAAGCAAAAAAAAAATATTTATAGAATAGATATTTCTAGATAAGTCGAGATATTTATATAATTGGCATCTTCGTATGATATATTGCAAAATATTTTATTTTAAAAACAAATTTTGTTTTTATCAGTTTTCTGAAATTCTATTTTAGCGTTTATAGGATTAGCAATGGAAAGAAAATATTTGTCGAAATCAATCGAGAAGCACTTACGCTGTCTTTTCAATTGCGCGGCGCAATTGCTTTGCGTTTGATTTCGTGAAAAAAGGCTTGACAACTACTTTCTTTCCATTTCTTATGCTATAAATTCTAAAAAAGAATTTTATAAGATAATTTTAAAATAAATTAAAAATAATTTATTAACGATTTAAAAAAAAACTTTTTAATAACTCCTCATTTGTGAATGAAAAGAGTTATGATGACCTGGAATAACGTTCTTCTGAGAACTTATCAAAATCCAAACTTTCGTTTGAAATTAAAAAATAATAATTTCAGATTCATGCAACATTTAAATATTTCTCAATTTCGAAGCACTTACATGGTTTTTTCAATTGCACGGCAATTTTCCTATCAGGTAAACGAGCTGTCGTGCAATTGAAAAAAAAAAAACACAATTGCTTTACGATTGATTTCGAGAAAAGTAGCTGGACAACTATTATCTTTCCACTGATAGTCCTATAAACTCCAAAATACAATTTTATGGGATAATTTTAAGATAGATTAAAAACAATTTAATAACAATTTAAAACTAACTTTTTTTGGATTTAGCAAGATCAACAAAATTTACATACTCCACATCTGTGAATGAAATGAGATATGAGGATCAGGAATAACGTTCTTTTGAAAATCAAAATCCAAACTTCCATTTGAAATGAAAATTAATAATTTCTAGTTCATGCTGAATGAACATTCAAATATTTCTCTACATTTTCATCCAATCAACTTGAAATGCAAATTGAAAAAAAAAAAAAAAAAANAGTACTTACAGTTGGTGATATCCTCTGAAGGGCTCCTTCTTCCTCTATCGTTTCCATCTCCGTTTCTGTTCCTTGAGATTTATCTCCTTCATTATCATCTCCACCTGCGTCTTCATTCTCAGCATCCTGCTTCTCTTGTTCTTCCCTTTTGTGCACTTCCACCCAGTAGTCGTAGTTTTCTCGCAAATGTATGGTTTGCAAGCATCTCACTTTTCGGTTCTGGAGAGGTCGGCTGCTTTCGGAGGAGGCATCTGTGTACGGATTAGATTAAAAAGAGAAATTATGAAACAACTGAATAACTTTTGACTTAATCATCGTAATTTCCCGTATTCACACGCAATCTTAGAGAGGTTGACCTTGAATTACTTTTTTTCATTAGCGCTAATGAAATTTGTTCCTTCTTTCGATGAACTCCGGATCTTAGAATGGGAAGGTGGGGCAAAAGAATGTTTTTCTAAGGCCCTGTAGTCGCATGAAATGATGTTTTTTGCAAATAATATGGTATTTTCATAATTGCAAAAGTTACTAATATCTGTTAGGTCAAATTTAGCCTATCTTTAGCCAGCTCTTATTTTCTTTAGCCTATCTTAGCTTTATACTAAAAGTGGCGCTAAACGTCAATATGGTGAAAAGCAACGGTTTTGAGAAAATGAAGAGTTTTTGATGCCTAAATTTTTAATAGCTAAACACTTACCCCGATGTTGCATTATCTGGGCTCATAAGGATTTGCAAAAAAAGGAAAATAAGGTATTGTTTTTGATAATTTTCTTCTAGGTGGGAAAATGTATTCAAATTGCAGATTTTTAGAAAAACTTTAATAATTTTTCAAACATTTTAGTTATTTAAAAAGCCCAGATAATTCTTTACAGCAAGATTTCATACACAATTTAAAATTGCAACTTTGCTTCAAGTGTAAGGCACTAAAAATGTGATCTTTTTTCTATTTTCCTCGGTAAAAGAGCTTCGAAAAACCATGTTTTATGTTAAGAAATTGGTTCGAAAATTTCAGTTCTTCAAAGTTATACTACTTTTTGCGTATTTGCCATTTCTCTGGAACTGTTGAACTGAATCAAATATTTTTGTATAAATTATATGTCGTACAAACTGTGACATTAAGTCACAGCCTAATTTCTAAATATCCCGTTTTATTAATCAAAATACTAATTTTTCGGCTTAATTTATATTTTTTGATACAGTTTTTATTGTCTTCATCTTTTTTTCTTCTCGCCCCTTAACGCGTTAGCGCAATGAGGACATTTTCCCCAGGAAGCTCCTTGCACATTCCTCAGACACTCCTTTTCTTGGAAAAAAAGCTGTCGGCGACCTTTGATGTCAACACATGTTTTTAGTTACGGTACGGTCGCCGTTAGTATTTAATTCTGCTTAAATTTAAGGGGTTAGTTAACTCAGTTCAGTTCGCTCCTTAAGCTCGATTTTTTTGGCTTTTTAGGAAGTTTAACTTCCACTTCTAGCTATTTCTTTAAATACCGCCCATTTTCTGGGAGCGGACACATTCGAAATTTAGTTGTCAACACNTGTTCCTACATTAGAAAAATAAGTTGGAGGATGGGAAGGGGGGTGCTGCGTTAACAGTAAGTTAAATCTCAGAATGTACAATAGTTGGAAATCAAAAGTCAAGTCTGGGTTATACATAACAATAAAATCGCAATTTGATACATAATAATAGAAACAAAAAAAGATAAAAGAAAAGAAAATTATTTACACTATATATAGGTACTAACTCCACTGCACTCCGTTCCCCCTTTTATATAATTTTTCACCACATCTCCAAAATTCTTGAATTGTCTCAAAGACGACAGAACGTCTAGGATTCCAGAATCATCGTGCAAAGACCTCGCAAAAGCCAGCCAGTCTCGAAAACTATCGCGACTGGCAGGACAGAAAGGAACCAGTCCGTAACAGTATCACGTGAATTTGGTTTCAAAAGTACTACCCTATTATAGTAAATGTTTTTTCAGTATTCTGAGAAATACCATGAGAAAAAAAAAGTACGCATAAGGTAAATAAAAATATATAGTCTTAAAAAATAATAACCCGCATAATTTCTACTAAAATTTTTATTTTTGTCTGAGTTCAAGGGGGGTGTTTAAACCCCTAAACCCCTCCCTTGCGTACGCCACTGAAAGCCCAGATAATTCTTTACAGCAAGATTCCATACACAGTTTAAAATTGTAACTTTGCTTCAAGTGTAAGGCACTAAAACGGAGACTTTTTTTTTTATTTTCCTTGGTGATAGAGCTTCGAAAAATCATGTTTTATGTTAACAGAGTGGTCGAAAATTTGAGTTCTTTAAAGTTCATACTACTTTTTGCGTATTTGCCATTCCTCTGGAACTATTGAACTGAACCAAATATTTTTGTATAAATTATATGTCGTACAAACTATACATATTTCTATCGGGAAAAGATTTTTTCTCCTTGCTTCTGTTCCTTTCCCCCAGTCCTGCTCTCCTTAATTGGTTAGGTGCCTCCTGGAGGCAGCTGTTGCTTGAGCAGGAAAAGATTTTCGATGTTTTCATGCGACGGGGTCTTTTGGACCTGGTGTAGGATTTCCTACACCAGGGAGATGAGCAATAACAAGAACAACAACATATATTATTTTTTTCAGAACGTAGAAAGGTCATTTTTTTATCATCACACAAGTATGTATCATTACATAAGTAAGTAAAAGTATGCAAGTTTTGTATCTTGAGTAACGTAAATTACATTATGTACTGGTTAATTAGTATATTTAAAATTTAAAACTCGAACTATTCGTAATACTTTGACCACATACACAATTTTCAACAACCCAGTTTTACATAAATACGCCAGTTTTATTTACTTCTCCTTCGCTCAATTTAAAAATTCTTTTTCTTTTGTGTTAACCTATGAAAGCTAACTATCTTGTAGATAATTTAATACTTGATTTGTATTTCTAATAAAGGCTTCGTTATTTAAACTTTTTCTACTGTTCTAAGAAGCTTTTCTATCGTTTATTAGAAAGAATGGCTACAAACGAATAAAAATTCCTCTCCTTTATTAGTCACTGTTTTTTCATTTATATAGTTTGATCATTAAAATAATTAGGATTTGTGAGATTCAAATTGCATATAATTTTCATGAAGAGCGGTGATAACATTTATTTCATATCTAGACTAGTAATGTATCTAAATAAAAGGTTTTATAATAAATAAAAAAAAAATGGTGCTTAATTAGTATGACATTAATTTTAATTTTTAATTAATATTTAAATTTCATTAATTTTATTTTTTAATGAAGTAGTTTAGAAAGTAACTCACTTGGCGTTGAATTATTTTCAGCAGACTGTGCATTCTCTTCAGTGTATTTCAAAGTTAATGTATCTGTTTCATCAGAACTACCTGAAAAAATATCAGGAAAATATCAAAATTTAGCATTTTTAGAGGTTTAGTATCAATGCATTAAAAATAATTGTAGTTAGATTAATAGAAAAAATATTTAAAAAAAATAAAAAGAACGTAATAAATAATTAAAACAGCAATAACAAATATAATGCTAGAATTGATGCAGAGTGCTTCGTTATCGCAACCCTTAATTCAGAATCCTAATTAAAAATGAAGATAACAAAGCACACATAACAAAAGACACAAATTAATGCTTGCTCAAGGAAAGAACAAAAAAAGTCTATTCAAAATCTGACGAATTCAGGTGGGGGGGAATTAGAAACATCAAAATCAGGCTGATTGCCTTGTTGTGTCTGGCATTAATATTTCTAATACCATCTTCTTCAATAATCACATTTAGTTATTTGTTTTTGATTTTGATGAAAAGAAGTATCTAGTATCATTCATTAAAATATTCGTATGTGAAATGAATAATTCACTTCATTCCTGTTTCAAATAAATTATGATTTTTAATCTATTATTTCTATCCTTTAAAATATAAAAATTGCATTTTATTAGGTATATTTTGTGGATTTTATCGCTAATAAATTGTGGTCAGATAATTTGAGAAAGAGAACATTACACAACTGAAAAAATCACTCTAAAAATTATAAGAAAGAATTTTTTTAAACTTTTTGCTAGGTGACTGTGATATAATACGAATCATATCACGGATTTAGATATATTTTATACATCTTCTTCAATGAAATTTGACCAAATGAGTTTAAGATACAAATAACTAACGAATTCTATCAAATAGCGATACTTTACATAAAAGCCCTGTTCAAAAATGCTAATTATATCATGCTCATTGCTAATCAAAATATTACCATAGGAAAATTCACACAGAACTTAAAAAAAAATTGTTTAGAGAAAACGATACCGAATGATTCTTTTAACACTTCATTTACACTCTCATTGTGTTAGCAGAAGTTAAGTTGTCGTTTGCCCTACTGGTGTGAGTTCAATCCTGACAGCCGATACGACTACCGATGCGTCGGGGCTGAAACTCCTTCCGTTGGTTGTGGAAGTCAGTAGAGAGGAGTACCAGCTCAAGTGCTGTCCACGTCGTCGAACCAGGGGCAAAATTACGGGTCATTCTTACCATGGCCGTTAAAAAGATAGAAATTGGAGATAGCTGTTAAAACTCACGCGTCTATAATTGTTTGTAACTTAAGCTATTGCTTGCTTACTGGAATTATTTCTAAAACTTTTTGTATTAAAACTTAGAAAACTTTTTTTCGAGTAGAATTGAATGAAAAAGAATGCGGAGATTGTTTTTTAAAATTTTGAAAATTGATTATATTCAACATCCCTTACTTTAATTTTTAAAGCATTTTCTTAATTGTGGGCTCCTTGAAATTTAAACCTTAATACGAATATTATTTATGCTCTTTATTTCGCAACACTAACCACTTTAAATTTATGACAAATTCAATGCGACTTTTACGAAAGATTCTATGGTATCATTTGCGTCATCATCATTTAGCTTTTAATTTTGCAAATTTCTTTTAAACAACGAAATAATAAATAATATATTAAAATATAAAACCCATTATATATATTTAATGATTTTGATATCAGATATTTCATGATTGAACTAGAACCAATTTTAAAATAAAAAAATTCTTATCACGATGCATTTTTAAAGTTCTTTCTAACCATATTCATATTCAATGAAAAATGAAAGTAAATTTCGCTCAATGTATTTTTATAAATATTTCTAAGCATTTTTACATTAAATGAAAAATGAAAGTAACGCAAGAAATGCATAAAACTAGTAAATGTATTTTCTTAGAATTATTGCATAAGTCTTATGTACAATTGAAAATGTGAGACAGTTAGAGTAAAAAGATCATTAAAAATATATTTTTACCGCAATTTAAAATACTCTCAATTTGTTGCATGATTCAAATGAAACAAAAATAAAAGTCATTATAGTCATTAAATAAAAATTCTGTAATACTCTTCATTTTATGAATATTTTCAGACTCATGGATCAAATATAGAGGCATGAGCAAACCTAATTTAAATTAGGTTTTTATTACTTTATTTATATCATGGAAAATAACAAAGAGCAAAACAAACTAACGAATAAAGCGCATTCAATTATAATCGGTTAACTAAACACTCCGAGTGCTTAGGCAAAAAAAAAAAAATTATTATTATTTTAAGGACATTATTTTAGAACTGCTAAAAGGTCACGCAAGCGTCAATTCTTAGATAAATGCCGGAGGTAAAACTAGTTTGTTAATGGTTGCGAATAAATTAAAGGGTTTTAGAAATTTTGGGGGATAAAGGAAACAAAACGCATTTTAAGAGTTATTCAAATGAGTAACAGTTCTAAAATGAACATTAAAATATTACAATAAAACATTAAAGGCGTTTCAAAACAAAATAAACGGAGTTTTTCTGAAGTAATTAAAATATTTCCATCTGAACGGAAAATAGGAATAACTAAAAAGGAAGGAAAAAAAAGATAGTTATGAATAAAAATTGTTTTTACCCAAGTTATAAGTAATAAACGGAAAATAATGTTAGGGCTTTTGTGTATTTTTGCTCACATTTACATATAAATGGAGACAGGAGTTCTGCATTCAGCATTTCGCTTTCCTCTGTGAGATTAAAGAACTGAATAAATATAGCTTATTATGAGGGACAAAGAAATGTGTTGGGTCTCCAGGATGTAAACGATTTTATTCGAAAATTCGGGAAATAAATAGAAAATTTAATCTTTGAATTTACATTACTTTCAGTGGAAAAAAATAAATTAAAGTTATTAAAAACTTGGGCGAATTACAATTAGATTAACCATGCGTTGTTTTGGTGGTACATTTCTCTTTAAGCAATGCTGAGTTATTTCTGCTGTTCTGTTTGAGGATTTTTGACTTCAGCTGTTTCTTGACTGCTTATAAAAATGACCGAGATAATTGCTTACTTTATCGTTACGTAATAATTGCTTACTTTATCGCTACGTAATAATTGCTTACTTTATCTTTTTATTCGAGAAAGTTAAATTATTATCCCAAGAGAGATTTTTTTAAAATTAATTAATTACTAAACTTTTTGGAGAGCAAATGGTGGCAATAAATATCTGGTCTTCGCACCACACTCTCCAACCGTCCAGTCCTTGCGCATACGTTCTGAAACGGTCTGGGGACCTTTAGGCCTCATTTTAATTTTCGGTCCCATTGATACGAGCGGGATAGAGTATTAGCCAAGTAAAATACTATAAAAACACTGTGAGAGATTGGGTTTCTTTCTCACTAACTCCTTATAAATTTGCCAACTTTTATCGCTCTGTTCTGTCACCCTCTTGGTGGTCTAGTATCTATCATGAAGTAAATGCGGTTTCACATTATCATCTGCTACTGACTAGTACTTACTACAACCAATCACTTTTAATTGATGAAGATAAAAAGTTACTCAGAAAGATCTTAGAGAGACTTTATACTTCACTGAGTCAGGTTAACTTCTTCAATCCCTGCGAGCAAGTGTTAACCCTTCCATGCAAAATTTTGATTAAATTTATTTCCCCCTTTTTTCATTATTTTGTATTAATTTAGGTAAAAAAATGTGAAAAATATTACATTTAGCTTTATAATAATTGATAGTTATGAAATACAGTATGTAACACCGGTGTCTTTTTCTGCATTAAGGGTAAAATCTTCAAAACTCGGCTCATTTCCTCACAATAATTTTTTAAATTTGCACTTATCTGTAGTTAGTTTGATCTAAAAGAAATAGTTATTCGTCATTTTTATTTTTTTAGTTTACAAAACCAATTAATGAGAAATTTTGAACAGGATTCATAAAAGAACTATTTTATTAGAATTTTATATTTTAGTATAAATATGATTCCTATAATTTAACAGATTATTTTAGTATTTATTAGTCTATTTTTTATAAATAAAAAAAAACTATTAGTTTTTTTTATAAAAAACTTAATTTTTTATTAATTTTAATATTTTTTTATAAAAAACTTATAAAAACTTAATAGTTAAAAAAACTATTAATCTATTTTTTATAATTTGCTCGTAATTAGAGCGTTATTTGCTCGTAATTAGAGCGCCAGAAAAAAAATATAGATAAAAGGGACACCGGTGTCAAATCTGCGTCAAAGGGTAAAAGTGTAATTAAATAATTGCATTGGATTGATGATTGATTTAGAATAATCTATTTAGGAGGAAGAAAGATGATTACAAGGGGTCAAAATCTTTCTATGAGATAGTCAATCTTGAAGAAGGTGCAATTCGACCATGTACCCAACCCTCATCCCGGGAAATTAAACTCGTCCGGTCAAGGGAAGCTGGGGAATGTCTCTATCGCTGAGTGAGGGGTTTCAATGAGTGGAATATTTTTTAAATATATAACAGTTAAATTTGTTTGTTAAAGTTAAGCTACAGTTAAGTTTTTTTAAAATTAAAAATACAACTAGTTAATTTTAGAAAGGAAAAAAAAAGCCGAAAGGAAATGAGTAATTTCCCTCAGCTCTCAACTTACCATTGTCATCTGTGCTCTCAGAATCATCTTCCCAAACCCCTGGTAGAAGGCCAGCTTCACCATAGGCATTACAGAGAGGGGCAACCAAATGAGTAATGAAAGACTCTTGCAATTTTGCTAATTGAGGATTTTTCCTGTCCATGTAAGGAGACACCTGCAGACCCAACTCTGCTTCTTCATCACCCTTTGGAAATATCATGGAGCATATTTTAAAAACCACACTAATTTTTAATGATTCGAATAAAAAGATTGAGTGTTGATAATTAAGCTGTTGTTACTAAAATATAGAGCACTAAAACAATGCAAATTTCGATCAAATCAGCCGTTGTTAAAGATGGTTTTAGAGAAGGAAATTTTTTTAACAATACGTGTATTATATTGCTATTGTATAAAAAGAATTAGGGAATAGGAAAATAATTAGTCTCCAGCGGCAACTATTATTCAGCACTTTATGTCTGTCTTGGTAAAAGCGTGGTGTTAGCAGAACTGTCTATTTGGCTAATTTCTCGGATAATTATAATTACTTGTATTTAAATAAATCCATTTTTTCTTGCTATCTTATAAAGAACGTATGGACTAAATTTGAGACTTTTATCTTCGTAAAAACGTGTTGTTTTGTTTCACGGTCAATTAGGCTAACTATCCCGATAATAACAAAATATGGAAAATAAACTTTTTAATTTTTCTTTACATCTGATAAGGAACACACGATCCAATTTTGATGCTTCTTTCTTGGCAAAAATGCGTTAAAGTACTTACTGCCAATTCTTTTTTTTCTTTAGTCTTTTTATTGATTTCGTAAAGAACACATGATCCAAAATTGAGACTTCAAGCTCCTTAATGATGCTTTTAAATTGAAGTAACATTAAGTTAAGAAAGTCTTGCAACAAATTTAGCGTTATTATAAACAATTTTTTAAGTGACTAATGCCAAAGATCAACATACTAAGCAATGAGCTCTAGGAAAATAACAACACACTTACGGGTTTACAAAGATAGTTTATTCTACAGAAAGCAATGCACGAATTCTTATTTATTCACAAAAACAACTTTGTTTTCAAATCACGGTAGCTAATTTCTATTACAAATAATGCCATGCCGATGAAAGCTTATTACATCGATTCGCTAGTCACAACTGACGGAAGAAAGAAAATTGTCATTTTAGCATGAAAATGAGCTATAAATAGGTAATTTCACACATTTTTAGAAATACTAATTTGGTGTTGGATCGTAATAGCATAGGCGGACTGTTGATCATTCACATAATCCGGAACAACGAATGAAAGTAATTAAGTATTACAGAGCGAGCAATAAATTTTTTTTTTAATAATTAAAAGCTGGCAAACATCACTGGCGCTACTTCTAAAATATTTGACAAAACTGAAATGTCAATAATTTTATTTAAAACAATGAGAAAATTCAGTTTTTTAAAATTAAAAATCTAATTAAAAAACCGAAAACTGAGCTTCGTAATTTGTGTATGCAGACACACACAATTCCTAATTTTATTATATGTACAGATTTACATTATAAATGTTGCATTTTATCTAAGCATTAAAGTTAAATACATAAATTCGAATCATAAAGTATAAATTGTTACAATAGAATATAAAATCTTTTGCGTTTATCTTCAGATTCTGAATCTAAAACGTAGCTTTTAATTAGTCAAGATAGCAAGCGCTTACCTTAGGCCATAATTGCACCGATCATTAGGGAATATTCTAATAAGCGGCTATCGAATGCTTACTTGTTCATAAAATTCCTCGGCTATCCTGTGCGTCCACTGAACGTGAATATCGTGTCGTTTACAGGGGCCGTTGATATCGGCCAGTTTGATGCACATTTCCATGGCTAACAGTCTATCGGCCTCTGAGAGCCAGTCGATACCCGGTGCCTCGACATCATTAGCCTGAAATGAAATGCGGTTTACTCAGTTATGCATCTTAGCTGATAATGCATCGGAACTTCTTACAAGATAATTGTTGATGAACAAACTGCTTAAATCGAGATTAACTGGATTAGAAAGGACGTAATCACTTATAAAATAAAATGGCATTTTATTGATAGATTTAATTTAAAACACTTCTGTAGAGAAATATGGATGTTATAATAAGATATCATCATCAGTGCCGAATGAAGAAAAAGGTTTTAGAATTGTTTCTGGCATTGATGATGCTTGTTTACAGTACCGAAACAGATTTTGGTCCTTTCAAATTTTTTATTTGCGTTTCATAGATTATTTCCTAAATGATTTTTACTTCAAGACTAATATCCTTTTGTAACAAAATTATTTTTACCAAATAAATACATTTTTATAAAATTATTGTTAAACAAACTGTTTCAATCGAGATTAACTGAATTAGAAAGGACGCAATTACGTATAAAATAGAATGGTATTCTATTGATGGATTTAATTTAAAACATTTCTGTAGAGTAATATGAATGCAATAATCAGATACCATCATCAGTGCCAAATGAAGAGAAATGTTTTAGATTTGTTTCTGGTACTGATGATAATCGTTTATAGTATCGAAACAGCTTTCGGTCTTTTAAAATTTTTTATTTGAGGTAAGTAGTTTATTTCACACATAATTTATACTTCAAGACCAATAACCTTTTGTAACAGAATTATTTTAACCAAATAAATAATTTTTTATAAAATTGTTGGTAAACAAATTGTTTCACTCGAGATTAACTGGATTAGAAAGGACGTAATCACTTATAAAATAGAATGGTATTTTATTGATAGATTTAATTTAAAATACTTCTGTAGAAAAATATGAATGTTATAATAAGATACCATCATCAGTGGCAAATAAAGAGGCAGGTTTTAGAATTGTTTCCGGCACTGATGTTACTTGTTTACAGTACCGAAGCAGATTTCGGCCTTTTCAAATTTTTCATTTGCGTTTCATAGGTTATTTCCTACATAATTTTTATTTGGAGACTGCTAACCTTTTCTAACAGAATTATTTTAACCAAATAAATAAATTTTTATAAAATTGTTGGTAAACAAACTGTTTCTATCGAGATTAACTGGATTTGAAAGGACGCAATTACATATAAAATAAAATGGTATTCTATTAATAAATTTAATTTAAAACATTTCTGTAGAGTAACATGAATGTTATATTATGATACCATCATCAGTGCCGAATGAAGAGAAATGTTTTAGGTTTCTTTCTGGCACTGATGATAATAGTTTATAGTATCGAAACAGCTATCATTCTTTTCAAATTTTTATTAAAATTTTAAAGGTTATTTCCTGCATAAACATTCCAAGACTAATAACCTTTGCAAAGTTATTTTTACCAAATAAATAAATTTTTATAGAATTGTTGGTAAACAAACTGTTTCAACTGAGATTAACTGGATTAGGAAGGACGTAAACACATATAAATTAGAATGGTATTTTATTGATAGATTTAATTTAAAACATTTCTGTAGAGTAATGTGAATGTTATAATAAGATACCATCATCAGTACCGAGTTAAGAGAAATGTTTTAGATTTGCTTCTGGCACTGATGATACTTGTTTATAGTATCGAAACAGCTTTCATTCTTTTCAAATTTTTTATTTGCGCTTTATAGGTTATTTCCTACATAATTTATACTGCAAGACTAATAACCTTTTGTAACAGAATTATTTTTACCAAATGTCAGATAGTGACAACAAAATTGATTTATAGTCAGTCTGTTTCCAGCTTCCGTAGATATTCTCTAATCTCATGTCTCTTAAATGTTATGTATTCTTTATTCTTACTAGTGTTATTTTTTGGTGTTTTATTTTGTATCTATTCTGTGATTCCTAATTTTGTATATTTTAATGAATAATTTAAAGATAGTTGGTATTCGCTTTTATTGTAGAACAGTTTCAAAAGTAGAGAGCGAGATTTAAAACCGTTCTTCTAGAATATTTTAATTTTGTTATTTCATTTCATAAATGCCTATAAATCAACACAAGACACAAGAAACTTTAAAGCGACCCAAGTTCTTTTCAGACAGCAACAACAAGAAATTAATTTTGTAAGTCTTGTGCTTTTTAATTAATACGTAAAGATGAAAGCATTGTTTTGGTATTATTGCAAATTTACTTTGACAGAGAGTTTTAAGTCTCCTTTATTGAAATTTAATAAAAACGTTTTACCTGAAGTAATTAGAAAGGTCTGTTTTTTTGTTACTTTAATTCAAAGTAATTATCATGGATCATATTTGAGAGAGTTAATTACAGAGTGATGAAATTTGTTTTATTTTTACCACATTTGCTTGACATGAATAAACTATGTTGATCGCGTGGGATGTTTAATTCAAAGGTATATCAATAAGGCAAAGTGCATTACAAAGTGCATTTTTATCTTACATTTTTTTTACGGCAGTGCGTAGGTTATTTTCACTACAAATTAAAAATTTATAAGTAAGCATATTCAGTTTCTTCTTAGCTTAAAGCTCAGGATTTTTTGCCTTGAATTTTTGTATTATAGAATGCTAAATAAAAGCGTGATGCTTTCTGAAATAAAAATCTTACGGGAGTAGAAATTTTTTCCAAGTACGAAATGTTCAGAAACTCATTCATTATTCTTCAATGAATGAACAACAGAATGGTGATCTCGAAATGTTAAATCAATAATAAAGAAACGACGGGTACATCAGATAGTGAAACCTACTCCCACGCAATCGGGGAAGGATAATTTTCGTTATCTTTTTTTTCTTTATGGATAGAATAAATATATCTCTGAAATCTTATATTAAATGAGTACTAAACAAATTGCAAGTGTAAAACAAGTGGTGCAGAACTATCATTAGCAAATAAATGATAATCCTAAATAAATAGTTGAATTTACCGTATTAGATTTCCATTTAATAAATAAATGACTTAATACAGAATATCTGCAAGTTTTCTAATTATTACGTTATTTTTATTAAAAGATAGCTGCTAGAATTATTTGAATTGTTAGAATAAAGATTAATTGGTATTTAATAAAGATTAACGGAAAGCACAAAAGGGTGTTTTTAAAGTTTCACAAGTGCTATAGGTTAAAAAAGATTTCTTTTCCGATTCACGAAGTAAACAAAAAGATGCTAATTTATTTTCAGAACTTTTTGAGTGTTTTCAACTGTACTTAAAATAGTCATAGAGTTTCATCAATTTTCTTATTATTTAATTTTAAGCGTTCTTTTTCTTTTTTATCTTTTTTGTAACTAGAAGATTTTTTCAACAGTCATTTGTGAACCTTGTGGAAATGATCTAGGTCAATTTTCCCCAATTTCGAACCATTGTTTCTAATATTTTATAACAGCCGACTAAATTTTGGACTTACGACTACTAGTGTTCAACTAAGCAGCCTTGCAATTTTGAACTCAGTCCAGAATACAAGGGAACTCTTAAATTAAGTATTGATGAAATTTGCCTCCGTGGAGGACTTTTTTAAGGAACTAACCCATGATCCACTGGGTATACTTCACGTCAGCATTGTGGTCGGAGCAAGCCGGATGCGGAATTCGTATTGACCAGCTATAGCTGGGATTCGAACCCGGTTCACTTCATTCGGAGGTGAACGCTTTATTCCTAGAGCCATCGTGGCTCAATTTCAAAATATCGGCATGATTGGATTCATGGATACCAGTGAAGCTGATATTGAAGAATCTGGCTGGATATCAGCTGGATATTCGTAAATTCGAAGCCGCATTAAGGATGAAGACCATTCCTTTCATTTGACAGCTCAGACTTTAACTACAGAGCCATCATTACTCGTTTTTTCTTCAAATGGTTGAAAACAGGCATCTTCTACGTTAACAGAACTGAAATCAGCACTAAGTCAAATTTTTTGATTATAAATCGCTAAATACAATAAATTTCATGGAATAAGTAACTTTCTGAAAATAATGTTAATCGAAATTGCATTTTTAATACCTTGTATTAAATATCAGATCAAAATTAGGTATATTATGGGTCAAAATTTTAAGCAACATTAAAATAGAAATTTTTAGCGTAGGCTGGAGTGAAGCAAGTAGAGACCGCCGAGATCTGCATTGCTATTATTCGTTCGATAAACAAATCGTATTTTTTTTTTTGGATTAATCATTCATCTATTACTATCATATCCTACTTTTATGAATTTCGGTGAAAATCTAATCATCAACGTAGGTATTAGGAATCTCAACCACTACTACATCAAATAATAAATAAAATTGAAAAATTTTGGGCAATACAATGAAAAGCCACATTTCCTAATTGCTGATGTGAACATTTTTTTTGGCAAAAAACACAAAGATTTCCCTGTCAGCAATACAGTGTATTCATGTATTGCATTAATACCCAAAGAATAGGAAAAATTGCTGTTAAATATTATAGTGTCCTAAGCTCTTCAAATACAAATAGAAAAAGAAACCAGGGAGATATCGTAAGCTAAGTCATTAGTACAGAATACATTTTAGTAGCATTCAACTATTAGTTATTTTTAAATAGATTACCTTCGCGTTGAATTCCGCAACCAGATCAAAATGCCTCTTCAAATCTGTAGCCAGAATGCACTCAATAACCAAAAAACGAAACCTCTTGAACTCAGCAGTATCCAGGTGGTAGAGAAAATTGTATTCTGGTCTAGAAAGGAACAAGTTCCATGCCGATGCCGCATGATGATTTTCTAAAACTGAACGATCATTGTAGAGTACTGCCTAAGACAAAGAAATTAATTTATTAATAAGGAAAAATTAACTGAAGAAATGAGGGGAAAAGAAATTTTAAGTGACATTTCAATGAATATGAGTAAATTGGGTTAAATATTTTGAGTTGGAATCGCAAATAAAGATTGTGCCTTGATTCTATTTCACGTTCAAATGTTTCAAAAAAGCGAAATTTACAAATCCTTAACCCTCATTTTAATTGTTGGTCCGTCATAACTTTTGTCTTAATTTGCCGTCCACTTTCTGACTACTAGTTGCTAAATGTACTCGGAAACTTCTTAATTCTCAAATATTGTCCCTTAGGGCTTTCATTCAAAAAGATCATATATATATATATATAT